ACTGGGGCTCGAACTCGGGTCCTTCTGCTTTCGAGGCAGGCGGCGAAACCACTGAGCTAAATCTTTGGCCCCCTAATATGAATTTTTAACATGTATTTGTTTAATATTTGCCTCTTTCCCCCAGTTTGGCAGCATGATGAAGGCAGGGCTTTATATCTGCCTAGTTCACCACTGTATCTCCGGGGCCCTAAAATAGGACATTGATGTGTATCTGTTGGGTGAATGAATGAACATTAGACCCGAGGGCCTTGGTGATCCCCACGATGACTGCATTTCCCCAGTAAGGACCCCTTAAATGTCACGATTACACAGGGCAGCAGGGCAGAGTGGGGCAGGCCGATAATCCGAGCACCCTCAGAGGCTGAGACTGGAGGATGGCAAGTTTGAGCCCACCCTTAGCCAAACCCTGTCTCAAAAAGTGAAAAAAAAAGCTGGTCTTGCAGTTCAGTGCAAAAGGCCTTACATTCAATCCCAGTAATAAGGGGAAGAAAGACTGTATTGGTTGATAGGGCCCCACGTGGGCCTAGAACCCAGGCCTCTGGACTCCCTGCTTTAGTGGCCCCTGTTCCTGCCCAGCAGCTCCAGGAGGGGCAGCAGGAGGAGAAGCATGCATTCCTGGTGGCTGGCAGGTGCCCACCCTCCGGAGCCTTGCTGCCCACTGCTGCAGAAGGCTTGGGAAGGGCCCAGGAGAGGCCTCCAGACCCCGGAGGGGCAGGTCCAGTCTGTGGCCCACAGAGGCAGGGCGGCCTGGGAGCTGTGGAGCAGAGGTCTGGCCATGCAGCACGACAAAAGCTCACTGTAAGCCTCTCTCCGCAAACCCACTCCCACTCCACGTAAGGGGCGTCACCTCCCACCCCACTTACCAGGCAGGAATAGCAGGAAGAGGTAGGCAGCTCTCATGGCCACGGAGTGAGGAGGCTGGGGTTAGAGTCAAAGGACAGCTGGAGGCAAAGGAGCAGGAGGGCTTTGTCCCAGGCTACTGCCCCAGGACTGCAGAGCCCACCTCTGTCCCCAAATTGAGCCTGGAACAGAAGCCAGGCATCTGAAGGACTAGGGGCTGGGGGCACATCAAAGCCATAATTCCTGCTTGGGTGTTCAGGACACGAGGGACGCTATTTCCAACCTGGCTAGCCCAGGGCTGATCTTGACAAATGAGCAAACGCCACCTTGCCCGCTCAGGAAGGGGACATTTCTAATGCCCCCTCCCCTCCAGCTGTGACTGTTCTCAGCCATGCACTCCCGTGTCTGACACAGGAGTGGAATCCTTGACCCTGTGCACAGCCTCGGGACACCAGCTCTGCTCAGCCCACATCACAGCCTCCCCTTGGTGCTGTCTGCCAGGCCTGCCACCTGTTCCCAATTAGCCCCTGGGCCCTGAGCATGTTGCTCAGCAGGAAACCACATGCACATAGGCCCAAGAGGCCCCCAAAACAGCCAGGCTGGGCAAGGCTCCCAGGCCCCAGAAGATGCCTTCCCTGCCAGGCTCCAGGCCTCCCAAGACCTGGCTGTCTTCATCCCAGACTCACGAGACTGAGGTCCATTTGTCTGCAGCGGCAGAAAGAGCTGTGGTGAAAGCCAGGGAGGCCAAGCACTGCACTGGGGCAGTGATGTCACCCAGCCCAGGGTGCTGCACGCCCTGACATGGTGTGACAAGGGTTGTGTAATTTTGGGGGCCAGTGCACTTTTCTTTGGCTTCACCAGGTTCCTGGAGTTCAAGAGCTCCGGGTTGAGTCCAGCCACTAGTTTTGGCTACACGTGGCCTTGCTGGAGACTCCAGGTCCCCATGTCTAGTCCCAGCTCAGCAGAGGGTGACCTGGAGGCTGTCAGCCTACTTCAGGAAGAGCCACGAGGTCAGAGACCCCCCTCCCTGCCCAGCACAGGGAAGTTTCAGACACCCCAACTTGGCTGAACGCCTCCCTTGGGAATCTAGGAAAAGGGAAGAGAAAGGAGCAGGACAGGGCATCTGTCCCCGGTTCCTGCCATCTCTGAGGCTTCTCTGACCCCTGCCCATCTCAGGAATCTAACGCCTCTCCGAGATAGATGGCACGAGGGCCAGAGGCCCGAATGAGACTCCTCGGTCTCCTCAAAGTAGGGGGACCGCCCCAACCCAGCCGGTGGTGACCAGGCGGCTGGCGCGCCGCCTATCGGGAAGGTGGGCGTATGGGAAGGTCTCCAGGCTGGGGCGACTCAGGTCCCCACTCTCAGGACCAGCACCCAGCCCAGGCTTATCGGGAGAAGGGGCTCCACGCAGAGGAGAGAGAGAGGGACGGTTCCCTGGCTGCCTGCCGACCGCATCTCCAAGCCCTGCTAGACTTTGGATTGGGTGACAGCTAGGGAGGCCAGGACCGGCCCAGGAGGCCGCCCCACCCCCGCTCTGGCCCCTTCCTGGCCCCGGGCCCCACGCTCGCTCTCCTCGGTATCCCGGGGCCTCCACCCCGGCTCGCGCCGAAGAGGCTCTGCCGCTTGAGGCCAGAATGGGATCCCCGGAGGAAACCAGATGTGCAGTCCGCGCACAGCTGGGAGCAATCAGCCGCGGGACTCGCTCGTGGCTGGCGCTGGCGCTGGCTCCGTCTCCGTCCCCGCCGCTCCGGGGCTCCCGCCCCACCCGCCGCATTCCAACTTCTCGGAGAACAAAAGCCTCCCTCCGGATCCCCGATACCCGCAAAACAGCTCCCCCCAGCTCGGGCTCCCCGCTTCTCAACGCGCGTCTTCCCCACAGCTACCCCGAACTTTCCAGGCCCCCCCAGCACCGTCTCAGAGGCCCCGGGCTCGGGGTCCCCCTTAGCCAGCGCAGGACGGGGGCCCTGGGCGCCTCCAG